ATCCGCCTAAGCAACTTCATGACGGGCTGCATGATATGGACGATGGTGGTCACCCTCTGCCACCATGGATCCCATCTGATCTGTCGGCGCACCCAACGCGCCATGACGCATACATCGGCGGACCACGGGATGGAAGCAAGAGCCCGCGCGTCATCCCCTCGCATCATGTCCTGCAGAGTGTCCTGCAGGGCCAACAACCTCTCTAGCATGGAGTAAACAGACGGGAACCGCGTCTCGCAAGAAAGAATAAGCCCCTTGTCGGGGCTACGCGTCCTAAGAAAATGAAGGGCGGCTTGGTGGGTTTTGAAAAACACCACCAGCACATGAGCGCGTGTGATCGCGTCCACAAACGCGTCGCAACTCGTCCCCATGTCTGACAACAATTTGTTGCAGACATGGACGGAGCACGGGAGCCAAATGATCCTCCTCAGTGCAGGAGGCATGGACGGCGAGGCCAATGCCCTTGCAGCCCCCACATAGGCAGAAGCGGAGTCAGTGCATATCGCATTGATCCGTTGTGGCCCGCCGAAGCTGAACTCGTGGAAGTTGGTAACCCATCTTCGAAGGACGTGCACTGGAATGTCCGCCTCGCCCTCTCGATTGATCGTCGTGTACACGCCGACCCCTCGCGAGCCAGCGGCAAGGAAATTCACGATCGGTCTCCCGTCTCGTGATTTCCTCCCATCGGACAGGAGGGTGGCACCAGTCACCCAGAATGGCTGCCTCACCTCCTCCAACTCCTCCGCCAGCTCCGCACGGTGGGTCTCCACCGCCCGCATACTCGCAATCTCGCAGTGGTTGGGGAGCACAGCGCGCGGGGAACTGCAAGGCTACTGAAGAAGCACCTGTTGACATGCCTTCCAAGCCTGGTTACGGAAGGCATTGAAGGACACCCCGCTCGAATACAGCCAGCGAAGGAATGCCTTCTTGTGGCGAGCAACCCACTCGCCACCGTAGACATCCGTCACCTTCTGCTTGCGAAGGCTCTTTCCTGCTGGGGTGGCAGCCGGATCACTTCCTCCTTCCTTCCTCTTGGAAGACCCATCCGTTGAAGCTCCCTTGCCCGCTCGCCTCCGCCAGTCCTCCAAACTCTCCCAAGTGGCTGGATAAAACTCTGGCACGTCCTTCCGTTCCGGGACTCCCTCCTCGCCCGGGCCACGCGCCTCACGATCGACGTGGATCACGCTCTCCTCCGTCTCACCGCCTCCACCACCCAAAGGGGGATCTGGCGCACCATGCCCACCATCTCCCCAACCCCTCCCTCCACCGGACGCCGCCCCGCCTCTCCTCCCCTTGCACCACCCGTGCCGGGCACATCGAGTCCGCGCTCCGCTGCATTCCTGGCAACCCTCTCCATCTGATCGGCCTCAAACTTCTGTTGACTCCGTCGAGCGATCTCGTACAACGCCTCGTCGCTGACGTCCTTGCAGTAGTTTGTCTGCGAGAAGTGCCTCGTGGCCTGAATCTGGGTCCCTTGGAAAACTTTGTTGCAAAACCTGCAACAGAGCATCATAACCCCCTTGTTGTCGACCTTCTGGCTGACAACCAGGTACCGATTTATCGGGGGAGTGGACCCTGAATGTGTCCTGCACATGGTCCGCGGCAGGCTCATGCTGACGGCGCTGTGCCCTCCCCATGTCGACCACCCTGGCGAGACAACCCTCGCCGACTCCCCCCAACCGCACCGCCACAACCCAACCCCCGTTAACCGCTGCCCACCGCAGGGTCCCCCTTCCCCCAACCCCCCCTGCAATCCAACCCTCCTTGACCGCCATCCGCCTTCGGGTTCCCCGTCTAGCAGCCCCCACCGTCTCCCCTGCTCGCGAGAACCCGCTCGCAGTCGGCTGAACCACCACAAACGCACCGCGGGCCCGCGCGTTAAACTGCGTTTAATGCCGTTGAATTAAAAATTCAACGGCGTCAATCGAAACTGCGCGTGCCGGTTCGCAGCCATCGCCGCGCACGCTCCTCCGCTGCTCCGCCTTCGTTGAGTCGATGCCGTCGCTCCGCTGCGCTCCACGCTCCCTGCAACGCTCCTCGCTCCCTGTCTCTCCCGCGACAGCTCTCTCTCTCTCTCCCTATGTCTCTCTCTCGTGCGCGCGCTATGACGCAATCTCTCTCTCTCTCTCTCCCTCGCGTGCGCGCGTAATCTCTCTCTCTCTCTCTCTCTCTCTCTCTCTCTCTCTCTCCCCCTCGTCCGCAACGTTCGACGCAGGGGAAACCCGTTTGTCTCTTTGAAGCGTTATGGCTCGCGCGGCAAATGAGCTGCGCCCGAATGCAAGTACCGTTTTTGTACCCGTTCAGACCGTTTCCCCTACGCCACCCCCTAGCAGGCCGGCGAAGGCAGGCAACCCGCGAACGCCCTGCAGGACGCAGAGGGGTTCGCACGTGTTTCTTTTCCCTTTTTTTTTGTTAAAAAAAAAAAAAAAAAAGTGCATGGGGCGGAACCCGACAACGGATACTACCACCCCACACGTTCACAAAGCCCCTACCCCCCCACCAGACGCGCGAAAACGTGGTTCACGGACCCCGTTCATCCGCGTCCGAAGCGCGTTTGAACGGGGATTGAATGCTAATTCAACGCGCGTTCACTTTTTCAATGCGAAACCCGCGTTGAATCGATTTTCGGACATACAGAGTGCCTATACCCCAAATATGAAAAATTGACAGTCAAAGGCCTCTTGTAATATGTTAGGCCCGCCTTCACTTAGGGCGGGCACCACTGCGACCGGGGTCCTTTAGGCCTGTCGAAGACCCGGATCCTCGCATATATATATATATATTATTTAACAATCATTCGAAGCAGTACGTTTGACCGAACATCTTCGGGAGGCGTTCGGCCGAACACCCGAGCGCGTTCGGGCGTTTGTTAAAGCCCCGAGCACATTCGGTGTGCTACACGTGTTACAACGACTACCATCCCATATTGTTATCATGCAATATATGATGGATACTAATCCGATAACCAGTATCTTTTTTAATTGCTCAAACTCACTTGATAGATAAGTAACAAAAGATAGCGACTCCCAAACATAACTTTTTTCAAGTGCTCAAACTCCCTTGGCGTGGGAAAAAATTAATGGAAAGGTGACAATATAAGCATTGTCAAATACAGCTAGTTTATAATTTTTACTAGCTTAGCACCCGCGGTGCGAGCGGTGCGGGCAATGCCCGCACGTAAAAGGGCAAAGAGGCTAGTCAATCATCACCACCCACCAAACCCGCACTGGGCCGCTAAGAAGTGCGCATGAATGTATTGATTTTCATATATACTAAGAAATATATGTATTTTTTTTTTTTAATTCAAGTAGCGGGGGGAGCCCCGCCGGCGCGCCCCCCCCCCACTTCGGGCTTGGTTCCACATCATGCGGCAGCTAAAAAGTGCGTATAAACAACTTTTTTTTCTCTAAACAATAGTCAAGAATATTATTAAAAAAAAAACAAACAGGGTACGTCGGGGGCTTCTGGTTGCACTTGGATCTATATCTTGCTTCACCACCCACCAAACCCGCACTGGGCCGCTAAGAAGTGCGCATGAATGTTTTGATTTTCATATATACTAAGGAATATATGTAATTTTTTTTAATGACAAAAAGCCTGGGCACGCCCCCCCCCCACTTCGGACTTGGTTCCACATCATGCTGCACCACACGCAAAACCCAAACGGTAGCAGCTAAGAGGTGCGCATCAATTTTTTTTTTTTGAAAGAATTTTCAAGAATATTATTATTCTCTTTTTTTTAAAACAGGGTAGGCGGGGCTTCTCGTTGCACTTGGATCCATATCTTGCTTCACCACCCACCAAAGTCGCATCGGGCCGTTCAGAAATGCGCATTAATGTTTTGATTTTCATATATACTAAGGAGTATATGTATTTTTTTTTTTAATTCCAATAGCGCCCCCCCCCCCCCCCCGCACCGCCCCGCACCCTCCCCCGCACTTCGGGCTTGGTTCCACATCATGCTGCACCACACGCAAAACCCAAAATGTGACAGCTAAGAATTGCGCATGAACAATTTTTTTTTTCTAAACAATAGTCGAGATATTATTATTTTTTTGTAAAGCAGGGTAGTCGGGGGGCTTCTCATTGCACTTGGATCCATGTCTTGCTTCACCACCCACCAAACCCGCACCAGGCTGCTAAGAAGTGCGCATGAATGTTTTGATTTTCATATATACTAAGGAATATATGTACTTTTTTTTTAATTCAAGTCCGGCGTGGAGCGGACCATCGACCTCCCCCCGCGGCCAATGCTGCTTAAGGGGTAGGATAATTTTAATAATTTTAATCATCTTAGCCTGCTCCAAATTTAAAGCCTATTTTCACTTTTTATGGATGGCAATGCGTGAAATACAAAGGCCCTTTGCGGCCCAAATCAGTGCAAGGAAGCCTTACATACCCTCAAGGAGAACTTTCCGAACCCCGCGATACCGACCCTGTGGACAACGGAGGCCAGGTAGGATGATGAAATTGGAAAAGTCTGTCGGCGGGGGATGGCCACGAGCTGAGACTGGTCGAGGATCTCGCCAAGCACACACAAGTTCTAAACAGTGTTATTGCCCAACACCTGCGACAAAACATCATACATCTTGCCTGCATCATGCTTTCCACACATGCTGGCATTTTGGTCTGGTGAGCGCAGCTTGCACTCTAATAACCAGATGCTGCAGTGGTTGAAGATGTACCCCTTGCTCTCCGACAAGCTCAGCCTCCGATGATTAGCCCATTTCTGTCTACTGGCCACACGATGATGAAGCCCACACTCTCTGACAAAAGCCTATGACAAGTTGGTTATCAATCATCGTAACCACCCGATTGATGTCTTTGCGCTGAAGCCAAAGGGGAAAAGTGCAATAAAGTGTCTAATTAGAGCAAAAGGGGGAAAGTACAACAAGGTGTCCAGTGCATTGTTGCCGGGGCAAGATTAATTCGGAGTGATTAATTCAGCGCGTCCTTCACAAATATAGATCAGTGACACCGACAGGCCTACCTAGCTCAGTCAGTACATCCACAAACTGTTGAAATGCAGACCTGGGTTCACATCCAGAAGAACTAGATTCATGAATTACCTGGGGCCGGTCAGTTTCAAGATGCGGTCTCAAGGTCGTCATCCTTTTTAACAGAGCCAAAAAGAACATAGACGAGCAACAAGCTCATGGACAGGATTACGGCATCTGTACAAAGCAGACCTGCTCTACAGCAAGACAGTGCAGACTTGGAGGAAGATCCAAATCGGACCCCCAGTATCATGCAGCGAGGACAGCACGATAATGCAGACACTGATAGGACTGGCGCGTACCGGCAAGTACGGGAAGGGAAAGGAAGCCCAAACACCATCCAGCATGATAATGCAGACACTGATAGGACTGGCGCGTACCGGCAAGTACGGGAAGGGAAAGGAAGCCCAAACACCATCCACAAACTTGGAGGAAGATCCAAATTGGACCCCCAGTATCATGCAGCGAGGACAGCACGATAATGCAGACACTGATAGGACTGGCGCGCACCGGCAAGTACGGGAACGTGAAGGAAGCCCAAACACCATCCACAAAGAGATGAAATTCAGAGAGATGCAATTCAAGTTACCCTAAGGATGAAGAAGCGAGAACAGGTTGACAGTTCTTGAGTTGTCCCATACGGCACTTCAAACATTGTGGACGGAAATTCAGGGACGACCTGACAAATCTTCAAGACCCTCGCGTTAGTTAATCAATCCTGTATACAGGTGTGAAATATAGATTTTCTCCAACGAAATGGCGGGTCTTGCATGATGCTCCACTGCAAGACCTGATCAGCTTGTGTTGGGGAAGTTTGCCAAGCCCGACGAGGTGTCCCGGTGCGCTGTTTTTTTTTTTCCCCTCCTCCTTCCTGGGATTTTTTCATGGGTGCATGCCATTTTTGTTTTGGTTTGGGGAGGGGAGGAGGGGGGGGAGGGCGTTCCTGTACTTGTGTACTTATTTTTTGTCTTCCAGAGCTATGTTTGGTTTCTGTTGTCGTTCTGCTCAGGCCATTTCATTTTCTGCGTGTTGAGTCCTTTCGTTACCCGTTCATGGTTTTGTTTGAATACAAGTACACATAGCAGGCCGATTTGGATGGAGAGAAGACATGACTGCTTGAGGCCAGCTGACAAGCCATTTTTTGTGTTTCAGGTTAGAGAAACTCTCTCTCTCTCTCTCTCTCTCTCTCTCTCTCTCTCTCTCTCTCAAAGGTGGACAACCTTGAGATATTACCATCCAACCAGCATTAGGCTGGCAACCGGCCGGTTGGACCGGCCCAGATCGACCCAGGGCCTCCAACGGGAATTCCGGTTGGGCTCAAAACCAGCCCAAACTTTTTTTTTTTTTTTTTTTGGAAAGGAAGATTTGACTGTGCTCGCCGAGAACAGTCAGAATACTCGAAGAAAACCATGAACTCAAAACTTGTATCGGGCTGGTGGTGGGGGTTCAGGGGGGTCATGGTGGTGGTGCGGTGTTAGCAGCGGTGTTATGGCAACCATGGCTATGACAACCGGTGGGGTGAAGAAGGAGAAGAGGAAGGAGTAGGAGACGTTGACAAAGTAGAAGGGTATGAAGAGGTCAGGAGGAAGAAGAAGAAGAAGAGGAGGAGAAGAGCAAGAGGTGGAGCACAAGAAGAACAGGAGGAGGAGAAGAGCGAGAGGAGATGGAGAGGAAGAAGACGTGGAGGAGGAGAAGAAGAGTAGGAGCAGGAGGAGGGAGTAGGGGTTTGTGTGACGATTAGGGGTGGACAGAGATGAGCAACGGGTACCCACACCCACCCGCACCCACCCCACCCACGAGGCATTGGGTCAGGTGTGGGTTTTGATACGCTGGCATGGGTGGGATGAGGGTGGGTCTAGTTGAGCCAGCATGGGTGGGTGACGGGCGGGTCAATGTTAGGCTTGGGTCACCCAAATGGGTAGGTGACAGGTGGGTGAGTGCTAGACCTGGGTCACCCGACCCACAGACCCAGGACAACCCAAAAGAACCCTCCCCCCGAGCCCACCCCCCTGCCCCCACCCCACTCGTACATATTTCTCAGCTGCGGTCCAACTGTGGACTTCAAAAGTTGGTCGCCCAGGAAACCGAAAGTCTCCACCCTGGCCCCCTGGAAAAAAAAAAAGTTAATGTGTCACTCTCTACCGGTGGTAGCTGGACCACAGCCCAAATAACGGGATGTTCGCTCCCATTAAAAGAACGGGAATTGAACCTAACCACAGCAAGTGGCAAGGTTCGCTCCCCAATTTCAAACTTGTGGAGCGCTTCAAATTTTCGCGCCATCATCCAAAGACAGCCGAAAGTG